TAGTTGATTATAAACATCAGTAAACCTACCAATTATAATATTCATTTATTCAATAACATTTTCACACCGTTGATCTTGAAAATCTGTGAACGTTCTTTTTAACTGGTGATTTTCTTTCAGATAATGGGCGTGAAGAAGAACTTAAAGAGTTTAATTATCTTAATCCTTGTAGCAGGCCTCCTTCAACATGCTTCGGCGGTATTTTTGAAACTCAACAAAAGATACTATTGGCCGTACAAACCCTTGTAAGTATAAATATTAACTAAACCTATAAATGAAACACTCCTCTTGAAATAACTGAAACGTCACATCTATAAAAACAGCATAGTATAGCAACTAACAAACAATTGAAGTATCCACTATCGTACATACATATAAAAACAGCATAGTATGGCAACCAACAAACAACTGAAGTATCCACTATCGTACATACATGTAAAAACGCCGTATTATGGGCACACACTTTCAGAACCAGCATAACTGGGTTACCGATACACACAAACATTTTATAGTAACACTTATGGTTACACACCTTTAGAAATGGAGAGCTGATTGTAAACACAGTATAGAATTAACACGTAACTTAAATCTAATCTCGCCATATGTTGTAAGATGTGTTTTCTTTTTTACAGCCATCCAGGCTACGACATATATGATCCTTACAGACAATCAGACTTCGGCTATCCTGCTGCAGGTCTATGTGGTAACAGTTGTGTTTTCTTTTTTTACTAGCCATCCAGGCTACGACATATATGATCCTTACAGACAATCAGACTTCGGCTATCCTGCTGCAGGTCTATGTGGTAACAGTTGTGAGCTTCAGAATATATATCGTCTTCTTTTTGCTATTAACAGACTTCGGCTTGGTCTCAATTCTCCATTTATTTGAAGAAGTGAAATACATTTATTTGATGTATGTATTTCTGGCTTAAATTAATCGATTAAAAACTTGTATATAAGCGATGGTTTACTAAATGGTGAATAATTTCATGTGTATTTTTCTTTGAGAAACAGATTGCTAATAAACAGAAACATTCATGAATACCAGGTTGACGTCATTTCCTTATATAAGACAAATTATTAAAATAACACTGCTGAAAGAATAATAAAAAAATGCGCGTTATTTCTCCAGAATTATGTTACTAATACTATTTTTATCATTAAAATTACCGTGTGCATACTGTTCTAAGGTAGTTCTTTCTTTGTAGAGGATTTCAGATTATCAGGCGAAAAATAGAATGTTCAAACCCACTTAATGACAGGAATTTGTTTATTTCCTCATTTAATGGTTTGTAGAAACTTAAACCACTTTAAACCATTGTACATTGTTTAGGCCTACGTTTACAACCGATGTCATACCTCTCTAACGACAGTATTACGATTAACGTAAAACAAGTCCAGTGGCTTGTACAAAGAAGTGCGATAATTCTCTCTTATCCCAACTAACATTCAACTCAACTTACTTAACAAGTCAGTCGTTTTTACAGTCCATCTTCGTTCTACATATTTCTAGGACTAACACAAAAACCTACAACTCCCTCTGGCTAGCAAATGAATTGCAACATTAAGAATATAGCTTACAAAAATAGAAACACTTTAGAAGTTAAGCAAAAACTCCTATAACAAATATAGATATGCTGAGCATATAACAAGAACAAAACTTATCAAACGTTGCTACAATGTAAATAAAGACAAAACATAAAGTTTTTCTATAAGAAACTTGAAAGGAATATTCATGCTTCATGACATACCCATCCCATCATTTCCTGTTATGTATCATATCAGTAACAATTAATGATCACTGTTTCACGGTCTACCTAGTATAGTGTTATGTATCAGCAGGACCGCAGAAAGACGAGATACGCCCGAGGATAAATTAAAAATGTGGGGGCCCTCAGCATGATATGCCTCCTTGTCGTTATGGCAATTATCCCGAAGACTATCCCGTACAAACGGGCCCCTTGTGGGTACCCACGAACCTTCACAGCCTGCTACTTGCCGTATATTTCAAACACAATATGTGTACATACATTCTCATGGTGAATATGGCCATAAGTTAATTAAGGTATACATACATCAATGAAATACCAATAACTGTATGTTTTAAAGTTATTACACTTGAGCCATTCACAATTTAGCAGCGATAGAACAGAGGGAAGGTCAACACCACCCACCGCCAACTCTTGGGCTATTTTTTTACCAACGAATAGTGGGATTCACCGTTACATTATACCGCTGAAAGGGCGAGCATGTTCGGTGTGACGGGATTTCGAAACCCGCAGTCCTCAAATTGCGAGTCGAGCGCCCTAACCATCAGGCCAATAACATGCGAATAAAACCTGGTAAATAATTAGAAATGCTCCTGTTACGACAGCGGTAGTCACGTGACGCTGGTAACACGTCATGATATTCTAGAAGATTCACGAAGAAACAATATGTACGCTTTTTGTATATATAAGACCGGTAAGAAGTGACGCAACATTGTGATTGAACCACAGACAGAGACTGACAATTGAGTCGAGCGAGCACGTGAGTCGTTCGTTGTGAATTATAGCGTGGCTGTGGAAATGAAGTGTATTGCAAAGTTGTATTCAGAAAGAATAAACCAGTTTTATTTAAGAAAGGACTTGTGTCGCTAAAGTTTCGTCGGAAAGAAATTATACGGAAAATTAACTAACGACCAGAGACGTAACACTACGATAATTACTTTTTGAAATGTGGAGGGTAACAGGGAAATTGGGGATAAAACTTTAAAAATTAAAATATAAGCCAATGAACGTTTTTGATAAAATTACCATTGGAAGTGACCATTACTAATGAAAGAGTAAGGAATAAAAGTTTGAGATCTTGCTAATGTTACATGGTGAGCTTTATATCTATTGTTTAAATACTGAAAAACTTTGGAAGCTTGATGAGGAGTTCTGAAAGATGGTAGATAATATCCATGTGCCTATGATAGCAGTGATTCAAACTGTTGCGTTCAATGTCTAGCCTTTTACCAAACTGGTCCCGACACTGTAAAATTGCCACGAACTGCTAATTGCAACGTCGATTTTTCTGCAAAGCTAGACATCACTCATCCAAACGGCCAGCTCTGGTCATCGTTTTTCATAAGCACATAAAATAGCTTTATGATCAGATCAACAACCTCGTCAATCTGATCATAAGGGTATTAAGTTAAAAGAATGCGAGTTTCGTTAGTAGCAAAGTTCATTAATGTTAAAAAAACGTACTTGGGAATAGTAACACTATTCGGTTTGCTTTTGAAAATAATATTAGTACTTAACTGTTTAGTTTCATCAAAAGGTAAATTTGCATAATGATTGAACATCAAAGATGGCACAGTGGACATTGTTATCAATCTACATTACTTTATTGGATGATATTCCTTGTGTCAGTACTTTACTGGACGATACTTATTGTATGTGTACTTTACTGGGTGATAGTGGACATTGTTATCAATCTCCATTACTTTATTGGATGATACTCCTTGTGTCAGTACTTTACTGGACGATACTTATTGGTGTCAGTACTTTACTAGACGATACTTATTGTGTCAGTACTTTACTGGGTGATAGTGGACATTGTTATCAATCTCCATTACTTTATTGGATGATACTCCTTGTGTCAGTACTTTACTGGACGATACTTATTGTGTCAGTACTTTACTGGGTGGTAGTGGACACTGTTATCAATCTCCATTACTTTATTGGATGATACTCCTTGTGTCAGTACTTTACTGGATGATACTTATTGTGTCAGTACTTTACTGGGTAATAGTGGACATTGTTATCAATCTCCATTACTTTATTGGATGATACACTTTGTGTCAGTACTTTACTGGATGATACTCCTTGTGTCAGTACTTTACTGGATGATACTTATTGTGTCAGTACTTTACTGGGTGATAGTGGACATTGTTATCAATCTCCATTACTTTATTGGATGATACTCCTTGTGTCAGTACTTTACTGGATGATACTTATTGTGTCAGTACTTTACTGGATGATACTCCTTGTGTCAGTACTTTACTGGGTGATAGTGGACATTGTTAA